GTCTTCAGCTCTAACTACTTCACAATTCCCTGCCTTGCACCACATTCATGCTGGAATGGGGATTCAGCAAAACACTGTGAAAATGTCCCAAAACACCATGAAAAGTGCATAATCTACCCAACATGAGACACTCTCAGGACATAAATAGAACAATCGCCTATGTTTGTTAGTGATGCCCAATGATTATCATTATTTAGTCTTCCCATTATCTCCGGCTTTAGGAGGCTTATTGCTCCATGAGACTTATTGCCTGTAAGCACCTTGTGATAGTGACAGAAAATAAGTATTCCTGTTCTAACAAGTCTGCCTTTAACTCTAATTTTCCACTGCAGCACTCTGATTTAATTGTTTTGGATTATTATTACACTGAACTCCTCTTCCAAGTGTAATTCTTTAAACTGTTACTTTTGTGCTCAAGCACCTCTCCCTTTCACAAGCCAAAACTCCAAAGTCATCCCGGAGGCCAAAAACAACCCAAAGCCACTGTTTTCCACTGTGCACCCCTCAAACTCCCTCTGTCCTCACATCAAACGCCAAGTGTGAAAGATTGAAAACATTCGCTTGGCTGCATCGTTCTTTCCCCCCCCCCACCCACCCACTGAAAACCGCTGTCATCACACCCCTCCTCAAAAAAACCACCGTCGATCCTGCTAATCTTTCACGTTACCATCCCATCTACAACCTACCTTTCCTTGCAAAGGAACACAATGTTGCAGGTCAACTTCGGTCACACCTCTCTCTCCACTCCTTCCTCGAGCCCCTGCAGTCTGGTTTTCATCCTGCCCACTGCACAGAGACAGCGGTTGCCAAAGTCACAAACAACATTCTCTCTATCTGTGACCAGGGCTCCCTCTGCCTCCTCATCATTCTGGATCTCTCTGCTGTGTTCAATAGTCGACCACCCCATCCTTCTCCACTCTCTCTCCTCCCTCATCCACTTTAGTGGGACTGCATTTGCATGGTTCGAGTCCTACTTAACCAATCGTCTCCACTTCATCTCAGCAAATGGTTTCTTCTCCCACTCCCGCCCAGTCACCTGCGGGTACCCCAAGGTTCCATCATTGGTCCTCTTGTTTTCCTCATCTATATGCTCCCTCTGGGCGATGTCATCCGCAGACACGGGGTAAACTTCCACATGTATGTGCGGATGACACACAAATCTACTTTGCCTGCTCCAGCATCCATATGTTATAATAATAATAATCCTTGCATTTGATATAGCGATTTTCATGTCTTCTCGACGTCTCAAAGCGCTTCACAGAATAGACTGTAAAGTGAATTGACCGTATATTTGTGGGTGAAACGCAGCAGCTAATTGTGCACAGCAGTGTCCCACAAACTGTCGTGGATTGAAAATGACCAACTTATTATAGTTTTTTTATTTTTGGAGGGATTATGTTCTATCCTGGATGAGGGCAAACTTTCTGCAGCTGAATGTAGACAAGACGTAAGCCATATTCTTTGGCTCCCATCAACGTCTTCACTCCTTCGGTTTAAACTCCTCAACATCCTTGGACTCTCCCTCAGACTCACTGAACCAGTGTGCAATCTAGGCGTCCGGTTTGACCCCCAGCTATCCTTCCTCCCCCACATCCAGTCCCTGACCAGGGACACCTTCTTCCACCTCCGTCACGTTGCTCGCCTCCTATTGTACCTTACCCCAAACGCAGCCGAAACCCTCATGCATGCGTTTGTCACCTCTCTCCTGGTTACTCAAAAGCACTCCTTACCAGTCTCCCCAGCTCCACTATTCCAAAAATCTAGCTCATTCAGAGCTCTGCTGCCCACATACTTACCTGGACCAAACACATCCGCTTGACTGGCACCGGCCTCCTACTCGTCCCTCACATCCTCTGCTCCACCATTTGGAAGTTGTGCTTTTAGCCACTACGCCCTGAAATTCTGGAACACTCTCCCTCAATAATCCTTCCACCTTGCTCGCTCTCTCCCCTTTTTTAAGGCCCGCCTGAAAACCTTCCATTTTGACCATGTTTACGGTCACCTACCCCTCCCCCCCCCCCCCCCCCCCCAACTCAGAGTTAGGCTCTACCACTAAGTGCTCTGAGATGCTACCCTGCGTGGAGGGAGCAATATAAGCTCAAGATGTTCTTACTATTTTTTCATGGAACAATGTCTTCAGATAATTCTTTTCTGAGGCCAGATCTATTCTGGTTTTGTCTTGACACATTACGATGCCATATTATGATCCTTATCTTCAGAATTATTTTAAAACAACTCTGTTTCAGAGTATCTAACTGTATTCCTTCACACAAGGTGACAGATTGTGAAACATTACAATCTTACCTTTGTTCAGCTTTGATGAGCCTTTCATCATCCTGGCCATCCTCATACATCTCCATTTTTATTCAGTCCTTTACCACTTAAGTATCTCTACGTATGACCGCTCTCTAGCTTGATGGCTAATATTTTCTGTATTGCAGTTGGGATGTCTAAGATGTTTGACTGAAGTTCTTATAACCAATTTTGAGATGCTGTCAATTCAAAAGTTGTCATAGTGGAAAATTGCATCAAATTACATTCAAAGCTTATGGAAAAAGCAGAGAACCCAGTGAAATTTGTTTTCTAATTAGACTTGATAGTTGTTATGTAATTATCACCTCCCGTTTAGAAAATATTAAGACGAGCGTGGCTGTTGTTTTGGATAACCTTCAATTTGCTAAATACTATTACTTTCAAAAGTAAGTTGACGGGCTGAAGAGGATTCAGAGGAGAGAGATGGGTTCCATGAATTGGGGCTTCAGGTTATCAGGTTCACAAAGTTTGCACTGAAAAAAAGATTGAGGAAGGGACATAATTCATGTTTAAGAGGCATTGATGATATATCTTCTATCCCTTGCAACTTTCTTCAAAAACGCTTTGCCTTGCTTCCACTCTCCAATGTTTTCGAAATCCTTCTAAAAGGTATATTTTAACCACCTCATTTTGATCAATATCCATAATTATTGGTTACTTGTTGCTCAGTGTTTCTCATGATAATTTTTGAAAGCTTTGAGAGGTTCATTCTCCATTACAATAACAACAAGATTACATTTGTATAGCACCTTTCACGTAGGGAGGATGTCCCAAGGTGCTGGACAGAGTTAGGAGGTGGCAGAGGTTGGGTGGGGCGAGGCCATGGAGGCCTTTGTATGTGAATACCAGGATCTTGGACTGGATCCTCTGAAGGATAGGGAGCCAGTGGAGTCGGGTGAGAGTGGTGGAGATGGGGTCACGGAGTTTGGTGCGGGAGAGGACACGGGCTGCAGAGTTAAAGGTAAAAAAAAATTAAAAGTATAATTAAAATTAAAGGTACTATGTAAGCATAAATCATGTAGCTATAAACAGACTATTTGCATTACACTGTGGCTGCAGAACTAAAGGTTTAAAATGAACAAATCTCAATGAGATGAGACTAGAGATTAGCACAACCTTTTTTCCTGGAGAAGCAGATGTTTAGAATCCAATTATCTAATGAATCTAGAGCTCAGAGGAGGAAAGACCTCTTGTGTCAGACCAAGCGTACCTATTGTTTTGGAAGTTATGTTAACCATGACTGGATGCATCAATATTACAATTGTATAGAATATGGAATTGTTATTTCAGTTTCACACTGTAAACATGGTAGCATGCAATAGCGTTTCTTTCAGTGGTGGGTAGGGGGATCTATGATTTAGAACACTCTTTGTTTTGTGTTCTGTCTTCATTCCACTTTATCTAGCTAGTTATTGAAAGGTAATGTACAGTTGAAAACATTTTCTTCTATTTATTCCTTGTGGCTTTGTTAATATTCTTCATGATGGAGACTGAATTTTTTTTTATTGATGGGCATTGGTGCCTGAAAAATGGCCATCAATTATTTATTGCTTGGTCAAAATAATCCTGGAGCATTTTATTTGCTGAGTAATCTATAAATCAATTAAAGTAATAATACATAACAGTTGTTGACCTTACTCGTGAAAGCTACCTGCTGGCATCTATAAAGGTACATTTTATCAATATATAGCTTCAAACTTTACCTGGTTAATTGAAGAATAAAGAATGAATTTAAAAAATTTCCACAATTCTGTACAATCTTATAACAAAATAGTTTTATACACTAAAACTATGGGATTTGGGGACTCTAAAGTTTTGATGTCTTGCTCATCTCATGAAGGGTTAAACATTTCTGACAATTTAACCTTCCTGTTAATTTAAGGAAATTCAATGGTGGCCTTTGCAGAAATAATATCTTTAAGATGTTCTTGAGTCAAAGGCCCTATATTATCAATGTGCATTTGAGCTCAAATAAGAAGTAATCTAAATCATTTCCAACAAGTAAATACAATGTTTTTTTAGGAAAATTGTCCATTCACGAGGCTTTTAAGCACTTATTGAGCCTTATCTGGTTAGATAAGGTTATCTGGGAAAAGGGTAGGGAAAATGGACTGTGCTATTCTAGTGGGTTTGTTGACTAAGGAGCACCGATAATGGTTTGTCCATAGACAAGTCCACAAACTAAACTGCTAAGAATAGCTTTGCTTCACATTTCTTGTTGCTCAATCAAATCTTGCTGAGAAAGTTGTAGACTTTTTCATCACGAGCCATGCAGTGATCATTCCAACTGAAGGAAAGTCAACATCAAACTCCTGAGGTATTAAAGAAGCCAAGAGTGGGAAAATGTGGAAATCTGTTGATCTTTTAATACTATCAAATTGATTGTTTAGTAATAATATTGCTTCTGCAAGATGCAATTTTTAAAAATGATTTTCCCCCAGGAATAAGCACTAATATGATAATCCATGCCAGTGATGTTTGTCACAGTGCAGAATGTAATATGTGTCTAAGTAACAATCAAAATTCAATGAAAAGGTATGTTATAGTGGTTGTGCAAGCAGCCGAGAAAATCTAATTATTCAAATACTTGACGAAGACCAGATGCACCAGACAGCTATGTAAATATGCCACACAGGAAAGGTGTTTTTTCTGCGTTAATATTTATTGCTGTTATCTACATCCTACAGCTTGCGTTGAAGGACCCAGTACACAGTGTGTCCCTGCAGCAGTTTGTCTATGAGAAGCTGAAGGCACAACAAGAATTGATGGGAGAGCAGGGATTCCAGGCTCTGATGGAGACTGTGGACACTGAAGTTATACGTCAGCTGCAACAGTTTTTACAAAACCTGTGAGGAGAACCGGTTTCCTTCGGGCGAAGGAGAAGAGAAATAAAAAGCGATGGTTCACAATTCTAGCAAGCATCACCAAAGCTTCCATCTTCACTGTGTGAACAGCGCTCATGCATAAACCACGGAGAAACAAAAAGAGAGCAATATGGATAGGCATCTGCTGCTAACAAGCAAAATGCACAATGAGATGTTTGGGAATTCATTGTTGTTTAGTATGTGACACTATTTAAAGACCAGAGGAAATACTTTCTTTAATTCTTAACTGAAAGGTTGTGAAAATTGCAGGAAAACGTGTGGCATTGAAAAGTGGTTTGACATGCTATAACCACAAATAATCTGGTGAAAGTTGAGCTCTTGAGGGAAAGGTGTTGCTTAGCCAGTGCCTCTTCAGATGCACAAAATGAGGCTTAATATACATTGTGTTAACCATCTTAACAAAATGTATCAACGTTGCTGTGTATGCAAAGTGGATTTAATTTGTGTAAAAGCACTATGAGAATCCACAAGAGTTATCTTACCGAAGAATGTGCAAACGTAAAGCCTTACAGCATTTTATCAGCCTTATTTCACCTGGAAAACCTACTTTTTAGCGTTTTGAATTTTTTAATAATTAAAATTGATGAAAGAACAGAACCAGATCTTTTAGGTATTAAGATGAGTTGCTTTGAGAATCCAAGCATCTACACTATTTCTGCAGGGTTTTTTAATTTGATGACCAAGATTCAGAGGAATTTTCAAATGCTTTAATAACGACTGACCATGAAAATAAATAAAATTGTTTGTTTAGCAGAGCCACTGAAATGTGTTTCATTCTGAGGGATTGACTAGGGGACTTGACCTTGAATATACCATGGTTCCTTTTTCAACATAGTTCTGACTCAAGATCAGAAACCCCTGCTGTGGTTTGGTCAAGCGAACGGGGTAGGTTTTTCATGAATTGATCTGAGGAATGCCGAGCTTTCAGAATTCTCTATACAATAAGGACAATTATTCATTTAGCTCTTAAACGCCTCAATTGAATTTGCAACACACATACACAATGTTTATCTACAATGCATAGAACAGTGAATGTGAACCACACAAATGGTGCTTGCAATTTTGCAAAAAACAGAATATACAAATAAGGTAAACAAAAACAGATGTCGCTGGGAACACTCAGCAGGTCAGGCAGCATCTATGGAGAAAGGCGAGTGAGTTCTGGTCATCAGTTCTGACGAAGGGTCATGGACCCAAAACGTTGACTCACTTTCCTTTCTCCAAAGATGCTGCCTGACCTTCTGACTTCTGTTTTTGTTTCAGATTTCCAGCATCTGCAGGATTTCATTTTTTTTTAAATAAATAAGGTGCATTAAATTCATGTGAGCCCCATAAGTAATAACCTGGCATCCTCACTGAAGATATTTGGAGATGATTGATGGGACATTCTGATTCTGAGATCTGCAAAATGTATATTATTGCTCATCATCTGTGCCACACACATGCCTATTGAGGGTTTGCTCTGTACAAAGGACAAACAAACGTTAGAGAGTAATACAGAAAAGTGCTACCAGCTTCGGTGCTATTCAGACTCTGCTATGAATAGTCCCTCCACTGGAGCAGACCACAATAATCCCAATTCCCTTCTTCTTGCTTGTAGCCTTTTACATTGTCTGATCTCTCCCTAAGTCAGAACTTTGAGTTCATAGTTGGATCAGGCTAGATCTCCACTAGGTGGCATTTCACACATACACAATACAAAATAAGAGGCAGGAGTGATACTTACCGCAATTTTAACATTTTTGTTCATTTCCAAATTAATGAAATACTTTCTGTGTCTGGCTTTGTTTTCAATTTGACTCAATAACTACGAAGTTCTATTGCTCCTTCCTCATGTCTTTTTGATCACGCCTGACAACGCCACCTTGCAGTGATCGACTAGTTGGAGACCCCGGTAGGTTGACACTCCAGGTCACTACTAGGGAATTCACCATATTGTCGTAGGTGCTGTCCTTCAAATGGGATGTTAAACTAAAGTCCTGTCTGCCTTTCAGGTAGATGTTAGAGATCCCATTGCACTACTCAAAAAAGGTATCCCCCCTATCCTGACCGACAATCCTTCAAATAAAATTGGTCAGTCACTTCATGTTTGTTTGTTGGAAACGGCTGTGTTCATCCATAAATACACAAGTCACTACACTGTGCAGTAATAAATATTCTTGTGGCACTTTGAGATGTCACGGCGATGTGGAATAAAGCACATTATCAAAAGCAAGGGATTATTTATTAAAACACTTGTTGTGACGATCAGGAGTTTATGCCCCTTGGTGAACCGATTTACCAACCAGTGTGAATAGAGCAGTTTCACTAACTTCTCAAGATTACCCAATATTCAAGATCTCTTAACCTTCCCTAGTTCAGTGAAAACAAACCCAATTTTTGAAGCCTCGCCTCACAGCTAGAACCTTTCATTACTTTCAGGATTCAGGTTGGAATACAAATTACATTTGTATAGCGTCTTTCACATCAGAAGGACTTCCCAAGCAAGTCTGAGGTGAGTTATCTAATCTCAGTTGGAATATGAACTGGAGCGATGTGATCTTCAGGTAGTGGGTTCAAGCACTCGTCAAACTCACATTCTAGGCTGACACTTCAGTGTAGTGCTGGGTTACACTAAAACGATAGAAGTGCCGTTCTTCAGATGAGACATTAAACTGAGGCCACGTCTGGCTGTTCAGGTGGACGTTAAAGATCCCATGGCACTATTCAAAAAAGAGAAGGGAGTTTCTCCCAATGCACGGGCCAATGATGCTTCAGGTAAAATTGATCACTGATTTCATGGGGGTTTGTGTGGCATTGCTGTGTGCAAATTGGCTGTTATGTTTGCCTAGAAAAAGTCATATTTCTTCACAGTAAAATCCTGTGAAGTGGTTTGAGACATATGATGACCTCATAATATGCTATATAAAATGCAAGGGTTATAATTCTTTGGTGGATTTCGAAGGCAGAGGAGAGCAGAGGTGGAGTGATTTTGGGTGGAAACTACATTGAGCAGGGGCTCTCTGGTGGACGGGGTGAGCAACATGCAGCAACCTGTAGTTCGTGGAAACTCCACTGTTATATGCTAAACTCCGGAACCGCAGAAATGCATAGTAAAAGTGGTGCAACAATAAGATTTTTCCTCCTGAGACAACTCTTGTTGTAAAATAGTCTGTTGTCCCGGCTCCATACCTCTCAAGACTCAACTCTGAGTTGGGATCTCAAAAGCCTCAATGCACGGAGTCTTTTAGACATCTCAAAGCGCTTCACATACTGTAAAGTGAATTGACTGTATATTTGTGGGCAAAACACAGCAGCCAATTGCGCACAGCAGTGTCCCACAAACAGTCATGGACTGAAGTGATCAATTTATTATTGTTCTTTTTTCTTGAGGGATTATTATCAGGTGTGTGGAGTAAGGAAACTTGCCCAAGGTTTCGCACTGCCTGGAATGGAACCCAGGTCTCTCGCTTGCGAGGCGAGTGCTCTAACTACTGAGCTACAGGACTCCTACATCTTGTCTCAATAGTGAAGATCTGTTGAGCCAGACCGAGCTCGGACATCTCAATGGCATAAGTACTATAATAATGTCAAAATGTTCATGCCGTGCAAAAGCCACCATTAAAATGTGTTTATGATCTCTGCAGGCTGAACAATAGCAAGATTGTGAGAACAGTTGGCACCTGATTTTCAGGCTCATTTTTCAGAGTTTGTTATTGTCATTTGAATGATAATTGCAGCGCTTCTGAGGGTGCACAGAACGTTAATTACCACAATTGGGCTCGGAGGCTATGTAGAAGCAACAGAAGTTTGAAATATAGTAAATATACCCATTTGCTGCCTTATTCAGTCTCACCGTAGCCACCGTGCAAAAACAGCACAAAATTCTTAATGGAATAGACATCGTAAACCACAAACAAAGCTTTCAGATAACCAAGTCGAGGAGTTCAAGAAGGCACAGTTTTGGGGTGGAGGGAGACGTGTTATATACACCTCATCAGAAAGCATTGCTTTACACAGAGTAAAGTATTTTAAATCCTTCAATGATATGCTCTTATTTACTCGTATTCAGTCCCACCTTTATGAAGCAATCCAAGCTGTTATACTTGTGAATGGCGCTTGATAAATGCAAGTTGTTGTTGAGTAAGGTACAGCTAGAATAGTTACCAGGAAAGTTGGTTGAATCATTTTGTTCGGATAGCTTCTGTACCAAATGTAAAAAAATGTATTATTGTAAAAGATTAGCAGTTGGCCTAGCTGGATTTTTGTACTTTTGAAGATGATCATAGTTGAGATAAGATGGTTAGCCTTACAATCTCTTTATACCATAAGAGTAGAGTATATCTCTAGGAAACCACAAAGACTACAGAATAAATCTGGCACCTCTTTTTTTAAATTACATGTCAGAGTCCTTATAACTGCCGATAACATTAGATAGTATTCTTTCTTGTGCATCACCTCAATTGTAGTTTCAATGAACAGCTCTGCCCCCAAGGTATCAGAACATGCTCATTGTTCAGTCTGCAGTCAGAAAATGTTTACAAATTTGGTTGACATCTTATTCAGGGTTTCTGTTCTAGAAAACAAAGTTACTAAAAGTGTTGTATTTGGAAGTAAATTGCTAGCTTCGGGAGGATGTCCCAAGGCGCTGAACAGTCAGGGATCAGGACCCGAGAGTGGGGGGCAGGGTTGGGATGAGAGAGGGCAGGAGGGCGGCTGAAGGCACAGTTAAAAAGGAGGGTCTAGAGTTGCGCCTTGGAGGCAAGAGAGGGAGCAAGGCGAAAGCATTGTGGGATGGAGTTCCAAAGAGTGGGGGCAGAGAGGCTGAAAGCCTGGTCGCTGATGATAGGGCAGGTCGGGCGGGAGACCTGGAGCAGGCCGGAGTTTGCTGAGCGAAGGGAGCGGACAGGTTGATATAGGTCAGCAGGTTAGAGATGTAGAAGGGGTCAAAGCCGTGGAGGGCCTTGAAAGTGAGGATGAGAATTTTTAATTCTATCCTCTGAGGGATGGGGAGCCAGTGGAGCCGGGCTAGGGTGGGGGCGATGGGGTCATGGAGCCTGGTGCGAGAGAGGCCATGAGCCCCAGTGTTCATGATGATCTGCAGCTTATGGAAGGAAGAGTTGGGGAATGCCAACAAGGAAGGAGTTTCCGTAATCGAGCCTTGAGGTGATGAATGTGTGTATGAAGGTTTCGGCGGAGACAGTGGCGGAGTTGGGCAATGTTGCGGAGGTGGGGGAAGGCAGAGCGGCTCATGGCATGGATATGGGGGAGAAGGACAGTTGAGGGTCAAACAAAACGGCCAGGTTCCTGACTGGCTTGGTGAGGTGGAGTGTGAATTCCTGGATGCTGATGCTGCCAGTGCCTTGGTTGCTAAGGTGCTGGTGCGAGTCATTCAAGAGGGCTTCAGTCTTGCTGACATTCAGCTGTAGAAAGTTGGCTCTCATCTAGGACTTGATATCAAACAGACAGTTTGTCAGGACGTCAATTGTGGTGGAATCAAGGGTGGAGACAGAGAGGTAGAGTTGAGTGTTATCCGTGTACATGTGGAAGTTGACCCCATGTCTGCAGATGATGTCACCAAGGAGGAGCATGTAGAGGTTAAACAGTAGGGGACTGAGGACAGAGCCCCAGGTCTACTATACTACAAAGCACACATACACTTGGATACATTAGAAATGTGGGCAATCAGATCCTACACACAATTTTGCTGATTATAACACCAAATACTTGTAATTACATAGCACCCTTCACGCAGAGTAGCGCCGTGGAGCACTGA